TTATTCAGGTTATATTTAATAAAGTATTAATTTAATAAAACGGAATCAAGTAATCATTTTAAAACATTTAACAATTAATATATATATATATATATAATATTTCAGTATTTTTTTAAAAGAAATTTTGTCATGACAAACAGCTTGTTCTCTGAAAGAAATCTTTAGTATACCGAAGCCCTGATCTTCCATTTTATGCAGACTCTTCATAACGTGGTATCTACTCTAGATAACAAAAGGAGAACCCTTACTTGACACCTATTCATTCACTTTACCCAGCGAGGCGAAAAATCTGAAAGGTTGGGTGGAAATCAGTAAACCTGTAGCTAGAAAAGTGGCTTAAGCGAATCAGTGCTTCTCCGGCATAAAAAAAAAAAAGTAAATTTTGTCGATTTTTCTCATGTTTTAGATTATTTAAATGCCATTTAACGTTTCTTCATTGAATGAGTGATATTATTTTAAATATCTCAGAAGAGCAAATTCTTACAAATCTGCTTTTGTTAAAGCTAGTTCGTTCAAAACGTTTTTATTTGATTTCATTTAAAATAGTTATAAGAGTGATTATAATTTTGAATATTTATTTTTCCAAAGGTAATTGAAGTAAATGTGGTAGACCTTGAAGAAAAAATCTAAGGATGTAATGAGCCGTATATCCAAAGAATTAAATATTACCTTGTAGGGTTTATATTTATTTTAACTAACATTAATTTTAAGCTATCTTTTCTGTCAAGCCTTTACTTTCCCCTAGAATTGCCAATGCCAGAGTATGTAAATTGTAGTAGAACGCGCAGTCTATTCAAATTTTAGCAGAATTAAGTTGAGTTTAAATAGAAGGGAAATGAGATTGTAAGTGTGCTTCTTGAATCGTGAGCTTGAAGGTTGCTAGGTAGGAATTTTAAGAACCGCGCGTTTCGGCCTGTGTGCCTATTTCGGCAGTTCGTTGAATCTTTCAACTTCTTAAACAGTAAGTTTGCTGAATCTCAGCTGTATCTTAGAACGCGGTTAAGTTAGTTACGATTATAGAGCCTCGTAGATAGTGACTTCGTTTTTATTCATTCTGTCATTTTTTTAGTTGTACTTTTCTATTGTTTAACCGCCGGGTCGGCGTAGTTGTGAGCGTCAGTGAACGCAACTGTGATTCTAAAGTGAAATAAAAAGGGATTTAACCCTTCTTACGAGTTTGTATAATTTACAGTTATAGCAGTCACTACTACTGTTGCTGACAAGTTGGGGCCACGCAACATCATAACCTAACAGTCAAAGAATTGTTGAATTTTTTTCATTTAATTCCCTGAATTCAATATCATTCTCCTCTCATATATAGAAACTATAAGGAAATTAAATTTAAAAAATCTAAAAGGTTTTCAGATTTTAAATTAGCGTTCAAAGGGACGTTTTTGTAGCATATTGTGTGTTACCTCTATTTATTAAATATCATGTTCTTTCGCACATAAAACCATTAAATTCAGTTCAATAGAAATGCCGCAAAATAATTTTAAAATGAGCATACCTTTAGATTTTCGCAATACACAGTTCCGCGCGCTGGAGATAAAAAGGTTTTTATTCCTGTAGAGTGTTGCCATTGCTCGTTTTAAATCTCTGAGTTTGTTACTAAAAAATTCGTTAAAGTTTTACAAAATATGAAATCTATAATAAAACAAAAATTTCAAATTTGGGCTTCCACATGCCCATATTCGCAGTAGGATTCGTCATTCAAACCTCGAAGGCTATATGTACCGTTGTTTTATCACAATTAGAGATATATACATTCATTTATGCAGATTTTTCATTATTTAATTTCTTCAAATATAATGCGGGACTCTAATATTTGGTGGCAACAGTTTGAAAAGTGAAACGGACATTTATAGTGATTCAACGCAAAATCGCAAAACAAAAACAATAGTCCTTCAGGAACAAAGCCCCTTTGGACTAAAAACGAAATTAAATAAAAAAAAAGTGAAATCAAATAGAAATGAATTCTTTATCACACACTGTATAAAAAATAAAATTTTCTGTAAAGACGATAAATTTATGGATTGTGCACTATAGTAAACTCCCCTTTCTGTTTAAAAGTGTTTTATGCATTAAAAATACCCTTATTTCTAGGAACTCATGCTTAGTCTACTAATAAAGTGTATTTTTATGTCATATTGTTTCTTAATTTTGATTATCAGTAATTTACTGTCTCTTAATTTTGATTTTCAATAATTGAACTTTAATAATTTGATTTTATTTGTTCAGTCTAAAGTAATTGTTGTAAGTTAATGTTTTTAAAAGTTGTAATTGTTAACTTTAAAATTTAGTTGGTAATGTTAAATCTTTGTATCCTTTAAATGTGCAGTTTGGTGTTTAACTTTTAATTTTTGCTTTAAAGTTTGAGGTTGTTTAATTAGTTTTTTTTTTTTTTTTTTTTTGCTTGTTTGTTTTTACCCTTCTTTCTGGTAAAGTTGCTGATTTATTTTCTGTCTTAGGTGGTAATTTCGACTGGTGTAATGAAGAAAATTAATTAATAAAAATTATTATTTTATGAGTTTATGAAAGTCATTTTAGAGTATCTAGATAGTTGACATTTACAGTACTTTTCGTAGCTTGCAATTTTCCATACACTAAGACGTATTGTAAACCATAAACTACTTTCGTAATTTATTACTGATTTTTTTGGAAGGATGAGTACCTAATGAAGTCCCTTGTACACTATTGTGGAATTTTGTACTTAACAACGACTTATAAAAATTTTATATTTTGATATTGCTGCTATAAACGTGTTTGGTCCAAAAATAACTGCTAAACTGCTAGAATAAGATTTTACAAAGAAGCCAATAAACTGTAAATTATTAAAAAATAAATAAATTCCAAACATTATTGTCACACTGATTATAACAAAATTTATAATAATATGATCATGTATTTAGTCATATGATAAGTGTAAAGCTTTTGCAACGGAAAATCTAAGCCAGGACCTCTAGCTGATTGGATGAGTGCTATAGATATCAAACCATTCAAGCCTTTGGCCATTATGCTTTTAAATCTTCCTTTGTCTTATTGATTGGAAGTGACGCACTTTCTTTGTCTAATTTTCTCGAGACTTGTTCCAGACTCTGTTCAATCTCATTCATAGACCTAATTTTTACTCTAAACTTTCTCCTCTTGATTATCAAAGTTCTCCTTTCGGATCTAGGCAAGTCTTTTGGAGAGTAAGCTATTCGTGTAATTGACATCAATCCTCTTAACTCAGTCAGGCGAAGTGCGAGAACTAGGTTTTCTAAATTTTACTTACAAGCGAAACCTCTTGAATTCCATTCATGGCGTTAGTCTCACCATAATATAATGTAATAATAGAAACAGTAGTAGAAGGAATATGTACATAAAAACAATAGTAGCTAGTACATAGAAATAATATGTAGCTACTTTTTTTAATTTTTCCAAGAGATACTTTAATAATTTATCACCCAGAAATTATTTTAATGCATTCTGAGCACATGTTGGGAAGTATTTTTGAAATGCTCATTTACAAAAGTAATTAACTGATTTATGTTGTTAATTTTCGCTTTCTTGTAGCTTGAGCCACTTTTCCCTAAGAAAATGCATAATGCATAAAATAAAGCAAAGTACTGTGGAAAATTTCGGGTTTTTGGCATTTGATAGGAAAGTGAAGATAAACATGATATCATATTTTCTCACAAATATATTGGAAAGACTCACGAGAAAGAGAAAGAGGTCACAAGAAATGGAAGCATGAAATGCAATTTAGCTACCACATCATTCTATCCATTCTTCTGTGGATTGCTGAATGCGTATTAAAAAAACTTTCAGTTTTTTTTAAAGCAAATTTTCTCCATATCACAGTTGTTCGCTTTGGCGGTAATAAAGTTTAGCTACATTCTATATGTGCAATCTGTTCAGAAATTGCATTTGTACTTTGAAGGTTGACGTTACAAAAGAAGTATAATCGCTTGAATAATAAACTAGTATGATTCAAATTGTATATCAAAGGTATTTAAATGATCTCGTTTTGTTTAAAATTTTCATAGATGGGAATAAATCCTAGTTATTTTCTTCAGGGCTGCTGAATTTTTAAATTTTAGGGGAGTGAGTTTTGCTTTAATGCTCACCTAGATTGGATTATTTAATTATGGAAAAGCACAGGAAAGCTTTTGAACACGTCTTCTCACCCAGAGAACATTCGAATAAAGGGAATTCGAATAAAGTTCTCTAAAGAGAACATTCGAATAAAGAGAATTAGAATAAAGTTCTCTAAAGAGAACATTCGAATTGACCTATTTCAAGGAAAAACGTTGAAACACCTCCTATAACTATTCCTTATTCGGGATTTGAATCCATGGGGGCAGCCAGATATTACTGATAGGGAAAGCTGCCTGCTGAAATTACTTAAATAATGCGAAAAATATTTTTGGCTGAAATACATTTTAATTAATGTGTATAAGGTCACGTTTATGCATTAACGTCTATAATTGAAAATAATCATTTATAAATAATCATTTATAAAGTTAAAAAATAAAATATGTATTAATTTCATCACTAATTACATGGTTTTGAGTAAAATTATTTCATAAACCTTTATGATGAATCTGTACTGAAAAGCAAATTCGTGTCAGACCACATTTGTGAAAGAAAAACAAAGTAAACATCTTTCACCAACTTCATATTAAAGGCTGTGAAAATGCAATATACTGATAATAATAATAATAAATAATAATACATAGAAAAACTTGAAACAATGAAGAAATAAGAAATGCTAAATTGCTGCGGAAATCAATTAAAAGTGAAAATGCGTGAAAACAGGGAATAAGCTGAAAATAAAATTAAAATAAGTAATATAGGCGAAAAGATTAAATGAAAGCTTTTTTTTTTTTTCGTAACCTGCATGAACATATGTGTAGTAAGAAATTTTATAGACCATGATATTCAAGATGTACAATTAATTCAGCATACGAAGAGATCTCTAATGATATTATAGTAGGTAATCATAGGATTTCACTTACTTGTTTTTCTCCATTCAACTTCTGCGTATGCCGATTAGCATAAAAGTACCTAAAAAGAATAACAATTATTAAAAAGTTTCTTATATACAATACATAATTAATATATATTATATATATAATATAATATATATAAATATATATATATATATATATACATAAATATATATAGACATACGATACATATATAATATATATATATACATATAATATTATATATATATATATATATTATATATATATATATATATATAAGTTAAAAGAAAATTCCTAGTTCGCACGCCAAAAAGTTGCTTAAATACTGTGGTTCCTTTTAACTAGTTTTCTAAATTCTGCAGCTCAATGCGCAAAATTTTTGGTTTTATCCGTCGTAGTTTTGGTTAACGTTAAGTTTACGGTTTTATCCGTTTTATGTACTCTCTGTGAGGTTGTCACTACACTGATTGTGCAACATTTGGTCTCGTTCACTCGCTCTCTCAACACTGTTGTAAGTTCAGATTGGAATACTAATATTTTCTTTTCTGCCTCTCAGAGTGGAAAGCGACCCTTTATTCTATGGTAATTATTGCTCATCTGGATGAGTACTAACACCCCTCTTAATTTATAAAAGTCATTTAGAATCAAGAGTTTTTCAAAATAAATGAACTTAATTGCACATTATAGCACGGTATACTTCTATACTGCCGTCATATTGCTTACAGTTAATTTAGGCCATGCTTCACCTATATTTTCAATAACGTTTTTGATGCTGTAGCTCTTCCAAAATCATAAAGAGGGCCATTTTCTAATCCAACGACAACAGTCGGTGATCAAGAAAAAATGGCCTGTGCATAGCTCACAGGCCGTTCGTATGCTATGCAGAGGCTCGCCATATAGCTATGCACAGGCTAAAATATCCCCAGAAAACACTAAAACATGTATTATACTGCATACTTTTAAAACCACATAAAAATAAACCGCACAAAAAAGAATTGACTACATAAAGGAGAAAAAAGTTTATTTGTGAATTAAAAACATAATTTTGTGCACTAACTGATTTTTGATTTATTTTAATTTTGCTCAATTGAAATTCGGGTTTGTTTGAGATTTTCAGATCGGACTATAGTGAATCCGAATTGATAGATGCCGAAATGTGCTATGTATAGTATTATTTTATACAGCTATAAGAATCTCAAAACATACGAAATCGGTCTTAATGCAATTATCTATGTTTTTGACTGTATCTGGAATTTCCACAAGTCCTAATTGTAAACTTATCAATACTTTAAATCTTTTGTACTTAGGCTATTAATAAAAAGACTCGCATTGGAAAATGAGCATGACAAAACTAGCTTCTGTCAGTTCTGTCTTTGTCAGATGAGATAAGCTTCTTATTTTCTGTCTAACTTTCTTGACTCTACATTTGTCAAACTTTATTGGGTAAAAAATTCATCCTTAAGTCAGTAGAAACTTAAAATATTCAGCACTGAGAATAAAATATTTATTAGAATTGTAACGCATAAAGACAGTTAAGTCGATACCAGTCGGAAATACGATTTATCCAAACTGGCAGTTGATATTAGGAGGAAAATTCGAAAGTCTGTAAATTCTACTTTAAAAAATTAAGTGCAAAAGGTTTTTATAAAAATTTAGGTGCAAGGAAAACTGAGAATGGTACAGAATAAAGTATCTTTTAAATGAAGCATTATAAGGTATTTCTCCCGCTTTCCTAGCGTGCCTTCGTGGTGTAGTGGTTCTGCACGCTGGGCCATTCCAGAGGTCAGTGGTTCGATTCCCGGCGAAGGCGGTTGCTAATTTTTCATCTCTTCGGCCTCTAAAAATAAAATCCTAATGTCTCTACAGCATCCCCCCCGGGGGTTGACTCAGGCGAATGCCTGGGAAGTACTGGTTGGGATCTGTACCTAGGCATTCTCAACCACGGGGGTCTAATAACAAACTTCGCAGAAGGCCTTAGGGCTCTCGGGAAAGAGTAAGGCTCGGCAGGAACCGTACTGGTACTGCCTTGTCTGCCCTTGCTATGTGGGGTCGCAACATGGTAGATTGTTTACATGGCGGCACGGCACTTAATTCTGATTGGCGCCTTCGGGCAGCCTTAGGACAGAAGCGGTTCCGTTCATCAGAGTTGTCTCTACAGCATTACTGAAATGGTTTACATTCACAAAAACCGCAAATGCACAGACACATTTCAGACTTCTTCACAAATGCTTCAGACAAAGGCCGTTGAATTTTGTGAAGAATAATTTAAGAGATTATCTTTTTGTGCTCAAATGGCTCGCTGGACAAGACAAAACAAGTTTAAGAAGCAAAACAACATTTCTGTGGTATAGTATTTCAACGTCTGATATTTAGACTTTATCATATGGCCCCCATATGCAATAGACATAAATTTGATTGAACACGAGTGAAACGCACTAAGACTTGAGCATTGCCGCTTTCAACAATACATCGCATGAGCGATCCAGCGTGAATACATTTCATTACCTTATGTGCTCGTGGACAGACTGATCAAAAGTATGAAAAACGAATGCGAAGCCTTTATTTCGATCAAAGGTGCCTATATAACAATTGTCTAGAAGTCTAAGCAAAATATTTAGCATTAATGTTTTTCTCAGTTTAAGATAGATTTGATGCTAAAATCTGATTATTTAAAAAAAAGTAATGGCAGTTCTATTTTGAAGGTATTTAAAACAGGTTAAGCTAAAGAGCTTACGAATTTTAATACTTTTTAAATATTTAAAATAAAAAACGGCGTACTGTTCCCCTCCTCCTTGCTATTTTGATTTTTTATGTTCGTTTACAAACATTAAATGAATAAAACTAACTTGCATACGTATGTATTGTCTGGAATATTGAATTTAAGGAATTCTGCCACTAAGACTCCAAGCCCAAGAACTCGTTAGCTTGGGTCTTATATTTGAAGCAAAAGGTTGAAAAGATGAGCTTTGTAGAGATTCTAGACTTCATCGATATGTAACTTTCTCTTTCTGCGTTAACCAACTTCTTCAAAAAATTCCTTCTGAAAGGATCCCTCTGATAGCTTCGTGTTCTTTTCCTGAAGTTAAATAACTTTCACTATCGTGGTGAATAAAGAATCCGGAGGATCGCAGAAAAGTGCCTTATCTCTTTTCGAACAGAAAAAAAATGGAATACGAACTTTTAACCATTGGTGGATAAAGATGGATCCAGATCAACCGGAAACATTTTTCATATCTTTTGCAGAAGAGGAATATAAGTTGCAAACTTTAAGCATAGATGAATGAAGGCACCAGGAGAAGAGTCTGTATCCACAGAGAAAATAGGCAGATGCAGACTTTTCAGCGAAAGCACATTAACTAGAACGAAGCGTTTAATTCACATATGCGTGTACCTTACAAAACATGTTACTATGATACTAATTTAAAATTAAATTTAGAACAAAGGAAACGAATATATGCTTAATTTTATTGCATATATTCTACTCATGCTTCCTTTCATTCAAAGTAAATTTTCATTTAATAAAACAGATTCAGAATTATAGTCACATGTTTTCACAAAGTTTAAATTTTGCCATAGATGTAGTAAATTAAATCGTTTATTACTTTAATGCGAGCAAATAATAGCCACAGCAAATTAATTCATTAATTGTTTTAGTTAAAATACATCCTATATGAAGAGCATTCAGTACGTTTTAAGCTTAGTTTTAACATAATGCTTGTAATATATATATGTATAAAATAAAAAAAAAAAAAAAAAAAAAAACAGACGCCTTAAAACGATTGCTTTGTCTTTCTGGAGTATACAAGTGAATGAATGCCAAGACTACTGTACGGGAGATAAATCACAGCTCAGCAGTACGAAATAATGCAGCCCCGTTGCGCAACTTTATACTTCAGCGAATGATCTGGTATTAAGTCCGTTGCACAATAATGCTCATACGTAAAAACTGCTGGATGAGTGTCAAGTACATCAAGAATAAAGGCACGGTTCGCATGGAGTGGCCACAATATTAGCCTACCTCAGCCCAACTGCAAACTTGTGGGATGCTCTTGCACATGCTGTCTTTGCCAATGTAGTCTTTTTAACTCCTCTCAAAGAATTTGAAACTACTCTGTAAGAAGTAATCGGAATTATAGTGCGCTTGACCATTTAATTGAAATTACGGAATGTAGCTGCGGATTTTGTGTGAAGGCCAAAAGTTGCGCACTCATTATTATCACTAAAGCAATCATTGTTAAAAGCTTGCGATTTGCGATTGAATTGATTGATTTTACGAAAAACGCTTTTTGAACGCAAAAATGTGATTTGTGTGTATGTATCCCATTTTTAATCAGGTTTTAATCAGCTCTTGTGTGCTTTGCCATATTCCAAAATAACCTACCAATTTGTAATCATGTATATATATATATATATACAGTGTCTCACAAAAGTGTTCGTACACTTACGAGTTTCAGTAAAATACTCGTATAATAAAAATTAATATATTATTAAATTAATATTATTAAAATTATTCATAATAGAAATTACTATTTTAGAATAAAATTTATAAATAATATCTATAAATTTCTCTTAGAAAAACTACATTAATTATTTTATAGACATATTAAAACTTTTTTTTGGAAAATCAATAACAAAAAAGTAACAGAAAATTGGCCTCACAAAAATCTTCATACGCTTTAAAGAAATCTGTACATATTAATAGATATTGTATTATTTCTGTCAGTTAGCATTTTATGGTATATCCTGCAGTATTTATGACAGCTTTCAAACATCTGGCATAGAGTTCACCAGTTTTTTTGTAATATCTGCATCAGTGTTCCGCCATTCTTCCATCATTACTGTTTTTAGTTCGGTTTTTGTTTTAATGTTATGCCTTTGTACTTTAATCTCTAATTCTCTCTAAATGTGTTCTGTTGTGTTTAAATCTGGTTACTGAGGTGGCGTTTTCATAATTTGCGGAGAATTATAGACAAAAAAGGCGAAGGTTGAAGTCCGTGCGCTTAGGATCGTCATCCTGATAAAAAAAAAAAGTTCGTTCCAGTATCCAAATTTTGAGCGGATAATTTTAAATTATCT